CCATCTGGCTCTAACACCGGCTGGGCTGTAAACAAATCTCCATAGAAAGTTGAAGCCATGGCCCCCAACTCCGCTTGTTCAGTCACCAGATCACCATTTGGAGCACGCAGTGCCGAGATATGGTTGATTTTGGTACGTTCCCGCGCACGTGCTTGGAAAAATTTGGTGTTCCGATCACCCTCTTTCAGCCAGTTTGTCCGTGCACGTTGCTTCACCATAATTTCTTCCCTCGCTAAGAGTTCGGACATCCACACCATGATCTGTCTTTCCCGCCTCGTCGGGCCAGAAAAGAGAGAGTATCGCCTTTCAGTTTCCAGTTCTTGGCGCAGTTTAGCCATCGCCTGCTTGACTGAACCGAAGACCGACTGATCCCACTCCAGAAAGGATGAACGCATTCTCCCCAACGAGCAGTGTAGTTGTTGCATATCATGGATAGCGCTCGGGTCCCCCCCAAGTATCCTTCACTAAGCTTACGTAGGAAGGTTCCCTTCTCCACATGTTTTCATATCTGAACATCCTCCTCCGCCTGCCTCTGCTCCTCTTGGAGCGATTACAGTCAATCAATAAACAGCAGTGATTGGATTCGGTTGTCTGAACATGGGAGACCTTGATTTCCTTGTACCGATCTGCAAAGGGTGCATTCGCAAAGGCTCTGTCCAACCGAACCTTAATGTTGTGAGAGCCGTGCTGCCGGTTGTCCCAGGTATAGGGAAACCCAGAAAAACCAAGATCAAAGAAATCACACGATGACACAGCGTCCCGGAATCCATCCATCTGCCTTTCCGGTCGCTGCACCCCACCAAACTGCTCTCCAGCTTCAAGTATCTCGTTGAAATCCCCGGCACATAGCCAAGGAGCATTACTTTGTACGCTCAAAAACTCCATGAGTTCCCAGCTCCGATATCGAAGCTCTCTTCTGGACTCACCGTAAAATCTGGTAAATCTCCAGCGTTCGGCGTTCGAGACCGGGTCAACCACCATTACATCTATATGAAGCTTGTCATATGACTGCAACTTCACACAGATCTCATCAGATCACAGCAGGGCGAGACCCCCACCATGGCCAAAGCTGCCAACCCCCACACCATTAGAGAAGCCCAAACTCCTCAAACCTTGAACATCATTAGAGAACTGTCGTGTTTCCGATAGAAACACCATCATGGGGCGGTGTAGCCGCACAAGGCTACACACTTCTTGAACTGCCTCGGACCGCCCCAGGCCCCGGCAGTTCAAACTTAGTAGTTTCATTGTGCCCGGCGGGGGCTGCCGCTCGCAGCCGCCGCTGATATCGCATTTGAGTGAGATTTTGATCTCTTTTGCTTCTTCCGCGACACCTCAGAAGCATTAGCATCCACCTCTCCACCACTCTTACCCAGTTGGTTCACTCTCTCTGTGACCAGTCCCGCCAGGACTAAAGCTGCTGATTCCGGAGCCGGGACGTTGAGATCCGGCGTCACAGACGGGCTGAGGACCGAACCCTTTGCTTTTCTCTTCCGCAGCGCTATCTGAAAGTCATCCTTGTTCTTGCTCGGGAACAATTCGCGGCTGGCCACTGCTGCCCCCATAGAACCACCGTCCGACTTCACTGGAGGGTTCTTCAGAGGAGAAAGGACTTCCTCCTCATCATCCCTACCAGCTCCATTCTTGGGATCCGATCTAGGCATCGAGCTCCGAGATTGTTTTGATGCAGCCGAAGAACCACTGCCAAACGACTCTGCAGCGGCTTCAGTAAAATTCTGAACTTTCTTCTTGTTCACCTCCGGTGCACGGAGCTTAATATCATATGGAAGCTTACCCGACGAGCTGCGTATCACCGGCTTATCACACTCCAGCTCCGAGTGACCCATGATGCCGCATGATAGGCAATAGAAAGGAAGCTTTTCATTCAAACCATTCCGGTTCTGCCTCACACTTTGTCTTCAGTAACACACCCCTTCTCAAGGGTTTAGCTATCTCAATCGCCACACGGGCACGCAGAAAGGCGCCGCTGGCTTTCCCGTCTCTGTCCATGTCCATTTTCTTCACCGCTCCGACCAGACCCATGGCACGTTCACCACGGTGACATTTCATCCAGCCTAGCGGGAGATTCAAAATGCGAATCCAGATATCCATGCAGTCAAACTTGATCTCTGATGGCCTAACTGACTCATCATAGGCCTGTAACAGTAGGGCATGCCGCCCAACCATCCACGGCGAGCCGCCGAGTGCCCGCTCCATATCCTGTTGCAGGTTAAACTCCGCAACAAAAAGGTTGTCCTGCTTCTCCCCTATTGATCTGATCTTTAGACCATAGGGATTTCCTCAGGCAGGTTTCATAGCCCGGAAAATTGTGGTAGGATGAACTACCGTCGGCGAAAGTACCTTGCCGAACAGTGCCCACTCCACCACCGGCGAGGCATCAACATCTTCATCATCACTGAACTCTGCGACATCCTCCTCTTCCGCCGTTAGGTTGAGGTTCTGCAACAGGTCAGCGACGCTGGCATCCGGGTCAACTGGTGATCCACTCCCAATCGCAGCCATGGCTTCGATTTGAGGGGAAGAAAGGGTGTGCGGCGTACACGGAGTAGGCTCGCACCCAAACACGATCCCAAACCCTAGGGTTCCTAAGCGGCGCACCCCTAGCGGGAAATCTATGGTCGACGGCGCTAGAACGACTAACCGTCGATTTGCGGGTGGCTGCCGACAACTGGACGTCGAGAGCAGGGCGTGGGCGCCGGGACCGGAGCGGTCGCCGGCGTTGCTGGCCTGGGGCGCCGGTGGTGGCGGCCTAGACCGAGGATGGGATCGCGATCGCCTCCTGGATCGCCTTCATGCGAGCTCCGGGAAATCCAGACCTAACATTGTTAGCGTTCCGCTATTCGTGAAATTTTCCTTGTTGAAAGTGTGGTTATATACTTATATGGTTTGAACATGTTCTTTATTGTTCGAGGCCCAAGCCTCAGTTGTAGTTATGAGCTCATCACTGAATTGATTGCTGGTGTTCATTTACCAAGTCTCCTTGCTCACTCTTTCACTGCTTTGGTCATGTATTTTACACTAAAAACTTCGTGACAGATACAAGAATGAGTTAGAGAAAAAGGATAAGGAGAAACTTGCACGTTTGTTGGATCACCAGAAACACTATTTGGTATGCCACTTTACATACTCATGAATATCAAAGCACCATTTACTGGATTTTCTTGGTTATCTGACATGTGCTAATGCTTGAAACATGAACCCTCTAAACAGGTTACTCCAGAAATTCGAAGGGAACTTCGAGGGAGCTGCAACAGGGGTGAAAAAGATACGAATTTGCAGACTTATATCCTTGCAGTGCAGCTTGTTACAATCTTTAGCTTTCATACATATACTATATTAGCTGAACAAAAAAAATGTTTCAATTAATGCAACTGGTATTTTGATTGAAGTCTGTTATTTCCTTAACATGTTTTCTTACTATCACCTATCTCCGTCATTACCAAGCCAATCGAGGAAGACAAGTGGGACGTACCACAAGTGCCAATGGAGGAAGATTAGCCACATTCTCCAGCATCGATTTTTACACTTCAATTATATTTGGAGCAAATTTCTAAATATATTGCTGTAATTTTTTGGGCATAAACTTTTAGTGCCAATATTGGGGACGATAAAATGGGTGCCCAGTAGATTGGGCCCCAATGTTCTGAGAAGGTATTTTGCAGTCAGAATGCGATTCACACACAAGTTTGTTTTGATTGTTACTTGGAACCTGAAGATCATTTGGAGCATTTTAAGGGGGCATTCAGCATGGATATGTAGCATACTGCCTTTCTCAGAGGTGGATAAGGAATAGTTGGGTTTTTCCGATCCTGGTACTTTGTAACCGTGACAGAACTAAATTGTACCGTACTTGAACCAGAAATGAAAATGAATAACCGGGAGTTCGTTTGACTTGTTTAGGGTCTTGTTGCCTGCATAATCCCCTATCTAGACCCCTGTAGTACAATTTCTCTCTATTTAGCTACCCGCACATTCTTTTTTGTTCTCAAGGAATGATATTAACTCTTATTTATTTATTATCTATGTTACGCTAGATGTTCTATGGATACAAGCTATTTTATGACCGTGGGAATTCTTCTTTTAATATGTATCTTTTAACTAGTAATAGGAATTTGTATTTTTCCAGATTGTATTCTCTCACTATCCATTAACAGGATAGAGGTTCTATTATCTAATTATTATATTAAAGAGTTAAATGTACTAGAGGTCTCTTAACTTGTAAGCGTGTTTTTGTTAGGTCCATCAACATTGAAAGTTAATTTTTAGGTTCATAATCTCTTCACATAGGCTTTTCACGCTGATGTGACGTGATGACTAGGCTGTTTGAACTAGCTCTTTACCAAAAAGAAGCATGCTAACGGATTTGTGTCGGAGTGATTCAATAGTCAGCATTTTGCTCATCTTGCACTACAGATTTTTGTCCCGGAAGAGTCATCTATTAATCTGTACCTGATTGGCCACAATAAGCAAGTCAAATGATTTTTTTTCGGTCAATGTCATTGCTAGGTGCTGGCACCCAAAGATAATTGAACTAAAAGATACTAAATCCATCCCAAATTATAAATCGTTTTGGCTTTTATAGATACATTGATTTTACCATATATCTAGACATAGTATATATCTATGTGCATAGCAAATACAACGTATCTAGACAAGCCAAAACATCTTATAATTTGAAACGGATGGAGTACTTCATTATCGTGAGGCTATGAAATATGTCATACATGGAGTAGAAACTCGGACTCCGTTACTTGTGCACATTACATCGTTGGATTACTCATCAGGCCATCACCTCACCACCAATGCGGTAAATCATCACCCAGGTCCCAGGCCATCACCTCTCACCGCCAGTGTGGTAAATCTTTGCCCTAAGCTAGATAAGTTTCCCGTGCGTTTTCCACGGGAAAATAGGACGAGTAGGAATACAACATGGAGAAGCACATTGGCTTTACAAAATTTGAGGCACGCCAACACTCAAACTAGGCTGACGTGCATGGCACATCTTCAGTACAATCTGCATTCCTAGTTCGTTTCACTTCAGGTTCAGGAGCTGATGGCTTGGATGGCCTATTGGGTTTGATCTCTTCGACCTTCTCCGTTGGGACGTCAAACTGCAGCGCAACAACAGAATATGACTAGTTAGATTCCTCATGGATAGTGAAAACATAATGATCGACATAGAAGCCAAGATGCAGCACGCATAAAAAATATGGTGCTTTTGAATATTTAACATACCCTGAATCCGCAGCCAGACACACAAGCATTGAAGCATTCCTGCATGGAAAACTGAATTTGTCAAAAACTACATTGAATAACTGAAACTTGTCAGTATGCCACAGACAATTTGCAATGCAAACAATAATTTACAACATAAACTTGATTAGTATTCCCTTGACAAATCTCAACAGCTATGGTTGTTGCGAATCAACATCAGAAAAGTTTAATACCACAACGGTCCCTTCAGCATGGAAATACATGCAGGGCATCAAAACATAGGAATTCACAGGCACTCTATATTTCTCCAAGATTTATATTAAATTGGGTTACCTGTTGTCACCAAATTATCAATAAATCGACATATAATCGCTAACATAAGCAAAAACAAAGTTCATCAGACTGATATTTGTATACCACTCAAATTATTTAACCAACAAATCTACTAGTGAACTCTGGTTTGTGACTGGACTGAAATATCAGAATTAACTACATTCTACTGGCATTATGCCTGTAAATGTTGAAACATCGCTGCATTTATGCTTTTAAAGAAAGTAACCACTGTTTCATGCTTCCACTCAGCATATAAATTTTAAAATGTTGATCAAATAAAGGATTACATGACCCCCGTCACAAATACCAAAATTAGTTATAGCCTTACACGCTTTACACTAAAAAATGCCTCTGGTGCCCTGCTTATGCAGATCAAATAATAACAAGACATCAAAAAATAACTATTTTAGGCCAAGAACAACTCCAAGGAGTGTATAGAGTAGTTCAAAATGATATCAATTATCTATTTCTTCCTAACCATGCGCTCCTCTAAACTTGATTCAGTAAGGAGCATGTTCAAAGTATGATAACAGCCAGAAAGATGTAAATGTAGAAGTGCAGCAATAACCATAATAGATGGTAAATGTTTGGTTTATATAATAACTTCTACATGATGTAATCAGAACAAACAGTAAAATGAAGGACTCACCAAAGAGTAACTATCCTGCCCTGGAGATCGATCAATATAGGCGCTCCACTGGCGATCTTCTAACACCGGATCTTTGTAGCATATTTCGGTACATTTTCCTATGCCTGAGGAGTTTACAGCGAGTAAGTTGCATGCACACTGCAGATACAGCGTCTAGAAGACGAAATACCATAATTTTCATAAATACGACTATACGAGCATACACGTTAGCAGAGGCAGACAGACACGACCCTATGACAGGAGCCAGAGAGACCTAGTGCTAAAAATCAATTCTTAATCGATAGAGAAACTGAACAAGCTATTCTGAAATCAAACAAATTTAGCTCCAGGAAGAGCTCAATCCAAGGGATGACACGCAGCAACAGCCATTCATTCAGCTTCCACATCAAGTATACTCACACTCGTCCCAGGTGTCGCCGTCCGCGTTGCACCCCTTCTTGCAGAACACCCTCCCTGTAAATAAAACCAAATGGCAGAAAGGAAAGGAGAAGATAAGGCCCGCTAGCTTGGAGTGATTGAGTGAAGCAAAGCAACCAAATGATTTCGCGGGGGCAAGGTGGACCGAGGCACTGACATGGGATCTGCACGAGGCTCGCGTACTTCTTGGTGCAGCAGCTGCCGCACGGCGGCGTCCAGTCGCCGGAGAACATCCCTGTCTGCCTCCGGCGCCAATCCCTCCAGCGTCTCGCACGGAAACGGATCGGTCGGCGAAGCGAGCGCCAGCGGGACCGCGGCGGCTGCCGAGGGATGCTGGTGGGCGGGCCCCGGTAAAGGGGGAGGCGAGGGGCAGGGGCGGAGGAAATGGAGGTGGAGAGGAAGCGGCGGCGGCGGCGCGCTGTTCGGTTCCTATGCCCTGTCCGCTGGTCGGTGCGGAGCAAATTGGGGAGGGGTTTTTATTGCAGTGATGAAAATAATAATGGAAATGGGAAAAAGTTTCTATTTTTTTCCGCGAACCGAGCCTAGCTTACCTCGGATGTCGGATGGTTAGATTCTCGTGACAATGGCATCTGTCAATCCGTATTAAAGTCGTCGAGTTGACTGGTTGTTTATATTGTGCTAAATTTAGTTTAAGATTTATGTTCCGTGTAGCATGGTTCCACTTCATCCGTAAAACTATTCAATGAACATTTTTATTGGTGTAGCTGGGCCGGTTTACTAGTTTTATTGGTGGAGCTAGAACCGTCTCTGGTAAACCGTTTCACAGAATAAATTCATATATGGAGTTTCTTAAAACATGACCTCGTTGAATCCCATACAAGATCCACCACAACGAGGTGAAGCTGCTATTTTCGTCTCCACCCTTCATATATTCTCTGTGAGAGCACGATTTTAATGAGCTCCTTGGATGGAGCCGTTTGATTTTATCCCATTTGACACAAACCGGCTCCAATTGGCTTCGGGATATGGTGGAGAAGTCGTTCCAAAGGGGGGCTTAATATATTTTGTATTTTCAGTAGTATAAGCAAAGATATTGATACAAATATGATGTGTCTATGTTAGACCTAATTATGGACCAACTGACTTGTTCAAAATAAAACTCGACCCGACCCACCAGTACGTCGGGTCATGATTTCTTGATTTGTGACTTAACTTAATCGTATCCTACTTTTCGCAAAACTTTTGTTGGTCCACTTTTAGTTTTGTAAAAGAGTGAGGAACTCGTGACCATTATTGGCTCTGGTACCAACTGTGGTAGAACCGCCCAAAATAGCACACTTTGTCGCGTCTTCCACCATACCCTAAGCATAAAAAGCTATAGCTATCCGCTTGGGCACACCCCGAGGAGAACCCGAAAGATCCAAATTTCAAGGATCCAATAATACGAAATCCATCTCATACATTAGAGTTTCTTAAAAAGTGCATTATTACAATACCAAATACATTAATGATAAACAACGGAATATTAAAAGATAACATCTAGCGATAAGATAACGAGGATTTCGCCCGAGCCACCGAAGAATCCTCCACACAAGGTACTCCTCAAGCATCACCGCAATGTGGGTAAATAAACCCAGTACACAATGTACTCATAAGACTTATCCGACCGGTGGGGAATACTTTCCCGACTCCAAGGAATATGCTAGGCTTTATGGTTGTTGGTTTCCTTTAAAAAGCAATACTAATAGTGAGTCCTTATTGATGCTTTATTATTATCACCGTATTAAGTTTTCATCTAGTCAATCTATATAAGCACATGTCTACTACTTCAAAAGAGTTGAGCAATCGATATGTTCCTTCTCCTTTTCCGCTTTCAGTTCTTACTACGGTGCTAAACCGCAGACAAGCCGTCTTAGATAACCCGACGATTCAAATCAATGTGCCCAAATGGTGAAACACACGCCTGGCTTGTACCCTGAACAAGCGTTAACCCATCACCCTCCCCGTCTCCCGGTGTCTCCGTGTCCCCGTCGAAACTTGGACTCCGAGCCCCCACATCGAAACTCGACACTCTTTTGTGACTCGAAAAAATTTGGCCTAAAGTAGAAAATAACATGTGATCTGACCTGATCTGTCAATGCATCGGGTCAGACTTGAGTTAAAGAAGCTCGTTCAGATGGTTTGCTGCACAGTGTTTTTTGGATTTTTTGGGATAATTGAATAGTATTCTGTGAGAGAGAATAAGCTGAAACAAGCTGGAACTATACCAGCTGAACGCGGTGTTTGTCTTAACATTTTTTTCTTGGACTGGTACCGAACCCGACGCTTGATCGGATCTAATATATGTTCATAGGAGTGAGTATGGACGTAGATACGTGAACATCTATGTCTATAATATTAAATGAAAAAAGTCTTATGTTTCATATGCCCTACCTTAGTCTCTCTCTTCCCACATAAGCTAATCTCTCTCTGTCGATGCACTCTACACAACATTTCTCTCTCTTCCCACATAAGCTAATCATTAAGCATATAGGCAGTATCACTTATTTTTTCTAAAAGGGCGCCTAAAAATTTATTGCAAACTTACTAGGAGAACAAACAAAGAGAAGTTTCACTCCAGTTTTTTTGAGCAAAAATAAGCCAAAGACCATACAATTAGGGATGACGCGTCACACTTACCTTGCAACTAGGTAGGGATCAGTATCATTACTAAGGTCCTGTTTGGCAGGGCTTCTCCACCAGTTTCAGGAGTCGTTTGGGGCTGTTTTCTGCCAAACGGGGTAAAGTGAAATAGTTTCACTGGTGAAGCCCTTAAAACATGCTCTCACAATGATTTTGGGTGGGATGGAGAAAAAAAAAAGGCTTCTCCCGGCTCTTCCTCCATGCCCCTAAAAACATGCTCTCACAGGGAAGCCATTTTGCTAAACGGTTTACCAAAACCGCTTCAGCTCTCACCGGTGGAACTGTTCGTGGAGCTGAAGCAAAAAAAAAAATAACTTCACTAGTGAAGTGAAGCCCTGCCAAACGGGGCCAAAATATCCACGTTCAGAAGGAATGACAAAAAGTATCACAGAATTTATTAAACGATAGAAAAACAAAAAAAGAAAAAATATTAATCAATGTCTATAGAATTGTGGTAATTGGTTACATATGTGTAAACGTAAATTCATTCTATAGCATGATGGGTTTGAGACGATGGAAATAAAGCTTTTGATGTGGGATATCAAATACAGTTTTGTTTATGATACTCATGCATTAACTCGTTTTGTAGGAGAAGCTGACAAAGACAACTACCGCTCGGCCTGTTCGGCTTACCTTAAAAGCTAACTTGTTCAACTTCTTTTTTCAATCAAAAAAAATATTTTTCTCTCATAATAATTTAACTTTAACTTGTTTTTTTAACCAATTTCAGCCCAGCAACAATCTTGCGAGGAATCCATGGTTGCGGTGTCTACCACATGCGCACTCGGTGAAGAGCCGCGTGCATCGCCAAGCTCGCCGACAGGGAGCCAGGCAGCGCCGTGCTGCTCAAGGAGAATATTTAGAATCGTCTGGAGTACGTACTACATGAAACAGGAAAAACTTTATATAACTAAAAGTTCGAATGCACTTGTATTCCTTGTACTGATGATTCAAGTGTCGGTCCTAACAAAACTTCAGTGCTGCATTTATCTGCTCATTCTGTTTCATAAGCTAACAAAAATTTTACCAAGCAAGATAGAGAAAAAATTGAAAAAGAATCATATTTCCTCGGCAAATAGACACATCATCGAGTATTGCATCACATGTTGTATATCATTTTTTTTAGATTTACGGTAACCGAAACTAGTATGGCTAGCCAAGATGTTCAACAATATCTTTCGATCGAACAAGATGCCTGAGGAGTGAAAAAGAAGCACATTAGTACCAATCTACAAGAACAAGGAAGATATCCAAAGTTGTACTAATTATTGGAGAATTAAGTTGATGAGCCACACTATGAAGTTATGGGAGAGAGTCATCGAGCAGCGCCTGCGAGGAACGACGTGGATATCAACAAACCAATTTGGTTTCATGCCCGGAATGTCAACCACATAAGCAATCTTCTTAATAAGACACGTTATGGAGCGGTTTAGAGAGCATAAGAAGGACCTCCACTGATTTTCATTTACTTGAAGAAGGCTTATAACCAGATACTAAGAAATGTTATGTGGTGATCTTTAGACAAACATAAAGTCCCATCAAAATACGTGACTCTCATCAAGGACATGTACAACAATGTTGTGACTAGTGTTCGAATAAACGATTGTAACATAGATTACTTCCTGATTAAAATTGGACTTCATCAAGGATCAGCCTTAAACCTGTATCTCTTTGCCTTGGTAATGGATGAGGTTACCAGAAACATACAATGGGATATCCCTTGGTGTATGTTGTTCGCTGATGATGTAGTGTTAGTGGACGAAAGCCAGACGAGAGTAAATAGAAAACTAGAGTTATGGCGGCAGACCCTTGAGTCTAAATGTTTTAGATTGAGCAGAACTAAAACCGAATACATGAGATACGACTTTGGCGGAGTTATATAGGAGGAGGGAGATGTGAGTTTGGAAGGTCAAGTAATACGTAAGGACACCTTTCGGTATCTGGGATCGATACTACAGAGGGATAGAGATATTGATGCGGACGTTAGCCGTAGAATCAAAGCAGGGTGGATCATTGTGGTGACAAGTTTTTGGCATTCTCTATGACAAGAGGATACCACAAAAGCTAAAATGTAAGTTCTATAGAACGGTGATTAGACCGGATATGTTGTATGGAGCATAATGTTGGCCTACAAAGATTCGACATGTTCAACAACTGAGTGTTGCAGAAATGCGTATGTTGCGATGGATTTGCGGTCACACAAGAATGGTCCGAGTTCGAAACGATGATATACGTGATCGCTTAGAGGTAGCACCAATTGAAAAAAAGCTTGTCCAATATCGGTTGAGGTGGTTTGACCATGTCAAAAGAAGACCTCCAAAGGCACCAATGCATTGTGGAGTCCTAAGCCAAGCTAATAATATGAGAGAGGTAGATGAAGACCAAAATTGACATGGGGAGGCAATAAAAAGAAATTTGAAAGATTGGAATATACTTAGAGATCTATGTCTCAATAGGAGTACCTGGAAAGCAGCTATTGAAGTGCCTGAACCGTAACTTGGGGCTGTTGGTGGATTTCAACTCTAATCTACTTCAACTTGCTTGGGACTAAAAGGCTACGTTGTTGTACAGTAACCGAAACTGCTTATTTTCCTTCTTCAAGTTGCCACTTGAAATCTTATGGACATATTGTTTGAATCTTATGGTCTAAAGTTTGATTCACTAGTAAACTTTAGTACGCTTAGCACACTTGTGTTGTCTTATGAATTAATATTTTTTAGATTGATTAAACTTTAGATGATAATTCAAATTATCTATTTGGAGCCTCGAGAACTAGCTAAACTTTGTATACTATAAAATCCAAGGCCTAATAAGTTGGCAAGATGCGTAACTTCTGCCGGAACACATGTATTCTATTGTGTTTACGTGTGTGCCTCCTTAATTAATTTGCAAAGATGCCAAGCAAATGAAAAATAAGTACCGACCGCATAGCGTGTCATGTACGGTATTTAATTTCGAGGCTACTTTTCATTGAGCAACATGTTTAATGTTTTCGGTATACTTCCACATAACACTAGGTTTGTTGATCGCCTTTCGTTTAAATTTATATATAGGGCCTGTTTGGGATGGCTCCACTCTACAACTCCAGCAACTCCAACAAAAAATACAGCCAAACACCAAAACTCCAAAACTCCATGAAGCTGCCAACTCCATGGAGCTGTAGTGCAAATGGAGATGGAGTTTTGGAGCACCTCTTTTGCTGCTCCAAAACCTCCTCTTTTAAACCTCCTCGTGGAGTTGGTGGGTAATTACCCACCACTGCCACTCGTTACACACATTTGGCTGCGAACCGTTATGTTCTTTTCTTTCTCCTCTCGCATCTCCGTCGTGAACACGCCCCGAGCTCGTTGTCGCAAAGACATCGCCGGCGAGCCCGTCTGCCCACGCTGGCCACGCCTGCCCCCTTGCCGGCCGCGCTACCGCACCGGACCCACGCGCTCCCCGCGCCGCCACGCGACCGGCTCTGCATGCTCCCCGGAGGTCCTCGCGGAGGCAGCCATGGCCACATCGGCTACGCGAGCTCCGGCCATGCCGGCCCCGCACAAGCTCCTCGCGAGAGACAGCAATGGCTATGCCGCCCCGTACCTCCGGCCACGGGAGCCGACAGTCATGCCCCGCCCGCCTGCCCGCCCTCCCCGTGGCAGTGGAAGCCGCCGGAGCTCCACTGACGTGCGCCCGCCCTCCTCCTCCTACACGCGTCGGGGAAGAAGAAAGACCATCCTGTCCGAGCCGAGGTCGCCCGCTGAGGTCGACTGCCGCGCCCCCTAGACGGCCACGCGCCTGGCCGCTAGGATTTCACCCCGCGCGCCCGAGCCCGAGGAAGAAGAAAGGCTCTGATCGAGCTCTTATCCGCTCAACGGATAAGAAAAGGGGAATATGAGGATGACAAGTGGGACCATAAGTTGGGGGCAATAATAACAATTCACCTTCAAACTCCGTTTTTCTGGAGCTGGGGACACCATCCAAGCCAAACATCTCCATCAGACAACTCCAACTCCACCCAGAGCTGGCTCCATCTGGAGTTATGGAGTAGAGCAGCTCCACCCAGAGTTGAAGCCATGTCAAACATGGCCATAATAGCCTCCCTGCATGTTTTTTTGAGCGAACATGAGCCGCATGCACGCACTCAAACTACATACAGAAGTAAAATAAATTCGGACTACATGTTGAATGCAAACACGGAGAGGCGTGGCGTATATAATAATACACTGTATTCTTTTGTGCCACAGGAATCTCTCTTTATATTTTATATCGTGACGTGTGTAGTGCGAAACGTATAGGTGGGCCTTTTTTTTTTTGGGTAGCCCTACCATCAAAGCACCTCTGTATTGACATACACTAGGCGGTACGTATGCTCGATGTTTTTGTTAGGCCTAGTAAGCACAGCTTGTGTTGTGTTGTGTGCGACGTGACACTACTAGATAAACGGGTTTTAGTCCTGGTTGGGAAAGGCTCTTTAGTTTCGGTTTTTCTAATCGGGACTAAATTTCCATACCTTTAGTCCCGGTTTGGGAACCGGGACTAAAGGTCACCCACGGAAGAAAAAAATAAAGGAAATTCTCGAGGCCTCGCTTGCTCTACGTGAGATTCGAACCCAATACCTCTCTCCTTGCGCGTAGGTACATTATCAACTCAACTGCACATTACTTGTGACAGAGTCATGTGCGCTCTTTTTTTTAATAGACTCGTGGGAGACCTTTAGTCTCGGGTAAAAGACCTTTAGTCCCGGTTGAAAACACCAACTGAGACTAAAAGTTGGTGAACTTTTACTCCGGGTTGGTGACACCAACCGGAACTAAAGATGACTTTTAGTCCCAGTTGGTATTACGAACCGGACTAAAAGTTTTTAGTTCCGAACATAAAAAATATTGAGACTAAAGGCTAAAATCGAAGTGCGTGAAAGGCCTCTTTTCTGGTAGTGTGACAGTGCACGTGGAATCTGGGCATCTGGCGCGACGTGAACCTTTTTCCATGGGAAAAAGAAAGCAAGTGGCGCAGCGCAGCACGTAATCCAAGCTACACGTACGGTGCACCCCGTTTTCCTCCCTTTGTCACGCATCAACGTACGTCACGGTTTTACTTTTACTGATGGTAGAGGTAGAGCTAAGTTCTTTCAGCTTATTCTCTCTCTGATAACAACGTTGAATCATCTGAAATAATTCAAAATCTACTGCGCAACAGATCAGTCGAACACGCCCACTAGCGTTTTGGTCTGGTGGTAGAAAAAGTTGTGGCTGTAGACTGTAAACACAAGTGGACGTGGAGTCGGCGAGTGAGCGCCGGTTGGGAGCGGGAGCAGCCAATGGCGACCCACCGAAATCGAAAGCCGCGTCACACTCACTCCAACAGCTCCGCACGGACTAAACAAAGAATCTCCAATTTATTTATTGCTCCGAAGAAAAAAAAACAAGAATCTCTAACTTCCGATTTTCCCAAAAGGCTCCAGAGATTCCCAAAGGTTCATGGCGACCCCACAGGCCACAACGCGACAGGACTACCTTGGCCCACAGGGGCTCGCCCCGTGCACCCGGTCCAGTGGAACACGCCACGGGACGTCCCACCGACATCCCGGGCCCGCAGCAATCCACGAGCCCACGGGTTGGGTGCTCCGGATCCACGCGACCACCGGGTGCCCCCCGCGTCCACGGTTCCACCTCAGCGCCGAGCGCAGGATCCCACGGGCAGAAGCCAGAAAGGGACGCAACTCGACTGCGAGGAGGGACAGGACAAGGGAGGCGCAGCCGCGCAGGGCAGGGCAAACCATGGTGGCGTCGGCCAAGGGACGGCTCGTGTCCGTGCTCGCGGTGGCGGCGGCGCTCGCCGCCGTGCTCCTCTACCGCGCGCCCTTCTCCAAGGTCCCCGGGATTATATTCCATTCCATCCTGACAGCGATTTTTGTTTTTCGTTCCATGTGTCTCTTCTTTGTTCCATCTCTCTCTGTCCCCGTCGTATCGAATCTGTGGCGGCGGCGGCATGACAGCTGAAGCCGTGCGCGTCTCCTGTAACTGCAGAGCTTGGGCGGCGAAGGGTGCAGCCTCCTCCCGCACGACCACTTCTGGATCGCCAGCGACCGCGTCGTCACGCTCGGCCGCGTCGGCCCCGCCGCAGGTACGTACGGCCACCGTTCCATTCCATGTCATCTGACCTCGCCGTCGACCCATCGTTGATCGTTGTTCCACGCTGCCACTGCGGGCTGCGGGCGCAAGTGCAAACCGACGGCTAGAGCATGCGGTTGAGAGTGGAGCTTTCTGATGCCGATGGTTGTTGCGTGGTTGATTGGTGCCTGCAGTGGAGGTCAAAGGAGGGCTCATCAACGCCATCGCCGTCGGGGACTACCGGAGCTTCGTGCTCCGCCGGCCGCTCCTGGACTACGGGGACGCCGTCATCATGCCCGGCCTCATCGACGTGTAAGCATCTCATCTCATCTCATAGTCATACTTAAACTTAATACTACTATTAACCTGCCTAACTGAATACTGATCAACTGATGGAGGGAGATTAGGCATGGCCCATATCGTGTTGTGAACAGCGATGCCTGCTCTAAACTCTTCCAGTTTTAATTTCTTTTACCCACTGTTTGATCGATGATCCTGATGATTAATTTCTTCAGGCATGCCCATCTCGACGAGCCTGGACGTGCCGAGTGGGAGGGCTTCTCCACTGGTACAAGAGCAGCTGCGGCAGGTGCAAATTTACTTCAGCCCACAGCTAACTGGTTACTCCTACTTACCACTACAGTATAGACGTATAGTTATGGCAGTGGTTCTCGTGCACCTGTATGTACACGGTACACCCTTATGGAGCTTGGGCATGGCCTCAGGATCTCTCAGTCAAGAGCATGCAGAGCAAATAACAAGTTTACAATGCACAGTTTCTCTCAACAAGTTTAATTTCTATTATAAATCGTGTGGACCATTTTCGTTTCACACAGGTGGGATAACGACGTTGGTGGATATGCCACTCAACAGCTTCCCATCAACAGTCTCTGAAGAAACTCTCAAAATGAAGGTAAGGTTTCTCTGTCAGTTGCAAGTACCATACACTGTTGCTACCTGCTTCATGTCTGTGATTGACACTGCCATTACATCACTGAAATTCAGCTGGAAGCAGCTCAAGATAAGCTATATGTTGATGTGGGTAAGTTGACCGACTGAAACACTGAAACAAAAGGTTTTCTTATTTCTGGTTTTCCAAATTGAGACACCGTAAAAAATCTGACTACTGTCTGTGCTACTTTTATACAGGGTTCTGGGGAGGACTTGTGCCAGAGAACGCCTTCAACCCAAGTGCTTTGGAGGGCCTCCTAAACGCAGGCGTTTTAGGACTCAAGGTTCGTTTCTTAGCTTGCAGACAGCACTGAAATTCAACATGTTGTTACATGTAAGCACTGGGTTTTCGACATCATTTCAGTCTCCGTTCCTTGTTTTCACAAGGAAGCATGCACAATAGGACATTAGGACAATAGTAGTACCAGGCAGCACAGCAAGTCCATTGTTTGGAGGTTCTTGGTAATTAGGGGTTGGGCCATGTTCCTTTTCCTCCTTTTAACCAGCAGATATACTCACAAACTGATTGCCTCTCGCTTTCATTTCATGGTTCTAGTCTTTTATGTGCCCGTCAGGTATCAACGACTTCCCCATGACAAATTCAACTCATATCGAGGTATGCTGCATTATTTCCTTATTTTAGATTGATTCTTATGGAATCTCTGACGAATTTCCCTTAATGTTTAACACTGTAGGAAGGATTGGTTACACTGGCAAAATACAAGAGACCTTTACTTATCCATGCAGAACGTATACCTGAGGCTGAGGGTGATGATGTGCAAGAGGATGAACTAGATCCTCGATCCTATATGACGTATCTAAAGTCTAGACCACCATCATGGTAATTCTTGCCCTTATGCTGCAAGGAATTGAATGCTAGTCTCTATCTTAGGTGCTGGGCTTCTATATCTTCATTTTGAGACAATTCCTTATTTGACACTGGGAAAATGAGTCGTTCCTTTCTTGACCCTGAAATTTTCTTCGTTCCCTATTTGACACTCACTTCAACTTTCATTCATAATTTGACACTACCGTCAAATCCGTTAGCTAATGGTGTTAACTGGCTGTTAAAAAGACGTTTTTGCCCCTAGAAAAAAAAGCGGCGAAGCAAATTTGAGAGGAAAAAAAAACATGCGCCCGCCTCTGATGCATGCGCCCAGCTGCAAAAAAAGGCGTAGGCTTTTTTTCCTCTCAAATTTGCTTCGCCGCTTTTTTTTCTAGGGGCAAAAACGTCTTTTTAACGGTCAGTTAACACCGTTAGCTAACGGTTTTGACGGTAGTGTCAAATTAGGGATGAAAGTTGAAGTGAGTGTCAAATAAGAAACGAAGAAAATTTCAGGGCCAAGAAAGAAACGACTCATTTTCCCAGTGTCAAATAAGGAATTCTCTCCTTGATTTTTATGGGATCCTAGAGTACATACCTCAAAACTTACTATTTGAAAAACATGCATAAACAACAGGTGTGAGGAGCTGTAGTGTCAACTGCGTTTTGTACAATTTAAACTGTACTAGGATCAGTGTTAATTGCATTTCTGTACAACTTAAAATTGTGTACGATAAGTTTTACCATAAGTGACCTCACTTTATAAATTATGCAATCTCTTTAAAACCAGGGAGGAAGCAGCTATCGGAGATCTACACCGTGCAATGAAGGATACGGAGTCGGGTGGTCGGTCCGAAGGAGCTCATATTCACATTGTTCATCTATCAGATGCAAAAACTTCCTTGGAACTTATGAAGGTTGAATGACATCATATGAAAAATGTTGTGCAACTTTCCATGACTTATCTAAATTTATGGTTTTAAGTTTTAACGTCCTAAAAGAAACTCAACATCAACGTATGGAAGGAAGACTCACTGTTAATGAGAATTAGACATTGCTCCTAATATGTGCAACTATTGTTGCGGACAAGCTCACGCATATGACTGTTTATCTCTAGTTACTTTTTTTATTTTGATCAAAGGTGTTTTTTGTTGGTTTTAGTTACTACAACTGTCTTTGCTTGTAGGATGCTAAACGCAGTGGTGCAAGTTTATCAATAGAAACATGCCCTCATTACCTGGCATTTTCATCTGAAGAAGTTCCAGATGGAGATACTCGCTTTAAATGTTCTCCTCCCATACGTGATGACACAAACAGAGAAAATCTTTGGAAAGCTCTACTTGTATGCTATTTTTGCCACTTTCTATTTTTTGAAGTGAACACTTAATAAACTGTTCTATTAATATGCTAACTATTGGTTTATGGCATAATTAATATTAGGATGGACACATAGACATGCTAAGTTCAGACCACTCGCCATCAACTCCTGATCTCAAACTAATGGAGGAAGGCAACTTTTTAAGGGCATGGGGAGGCATATCATCCTTGCAGGTTAGTTTGTGTACAAAACCATTTGCAAAATCATGCGAATTATTAGTTCAAGCTCACTAAAGTTATCAATTGAAGCATTTTTGGTATCTTAATTAAGTTGTAACAAAGAACAATACCTCATAATGGAAGTGGAAGTGTGATGCTAAACTCATAAAGGAAAGGTGTTTTGCAGATTCGATGTTTTTGCATTAAATTAATTTGGCATAACTATTTGTAGTTTGTCCTCCCGGTGACATGGTCATATGGGCGAAAGTATGGCATTACTCTGAATCAGCTAGCCTCATGGTGGAGCGAAAAGCCAGCCAAGCTTGCAGGCCAAAAGAACAAGGTACTTAAAATTATGCACTATACACTGTTCAAAATGATGGCAATACGTTCAAGTCAGACACCAAAGAATTATGTTCAATTATCATTCTTCATGTATTCTCCAAGAAATATCTTGTAGATGAAAAATGCATCTCATGTGTTAATACTGAATCATGTAGGGAGCCATTCTACCCGGATACCATGCTGACATAGTAGTATGGAAACCCGAAACCGAGTTCCAACTTGATGACAGCCATGCTATATATCATAAACATCAGGTTTACTTCCTTCCTCAAATGACCCTATAATAATTCAGCTATTTAAAATGCTATACTCTGATACTTGGCAAATAACAAGTAATTTCATTATCTTTTTGCAGAATATTTCGGCGTATCTAGGAAAGCAACTTTCTGGTAAGGTCCTGTCAACTTTTGTGAGAGGAAACCTAGTGTTTGCTGAAGACAAGCATGCAAATGTTGCTTGTGGTGTTCCTATCCTCGCTAAGTAACATGCAGGTGCAGCGGTGGATATCTTTCTTTTTAATTAAATATCATACCTTTTTATCACTACATATACTACACACATATAAGGAAATTATGCATGCAGAAGTAGCTAGCATGATAAGACAGTAATATTCAATGTTTATTTATTCTTTTGTTTCAGGTGGATCCAGAGCTGCCATTGTTGATCCGTAGTGTATACAATCGTATGCAATATGTCAATTTGTAGGTTGCTCTTGTATATAACTGAACTGTCATTGTTGTATAGTAGCAGTCTAAAGGTATTGGCATGCATTTTGCCTTGATCTCCAATTAGACTATTTGTTCTCTCTATTGATATGGAAGAATACACTTTGACCATTTTCACGTCTCTTTCTTATGTTGGTATAGTGTTAATGGGCATTTGGTGTAGTGTAGAGGTGACTATTCATGGGAAGATGAGTAGATGGTTGCATCCTCAAGCTTCGGTTGCCTTTACTCATAGAAGATTCACTCTGACACTTTGCTTTATATAACGAGATAATTTTATCTCCATGAAACTTTTTTTCGCGAGCATGCGTTTCACTAAGAGGAAGAAGAAATGTTCGTGCACGGCCATAGCCAGAGGTTGCTTGATTGTGAGGAGCAATTGAGCCTAAAACCCAAGGCCACCTACAAGAGGTTGCTCGATCGCGAGGAGCAATTGAGCCTAAAACCCAAGGTCACCTATAAGATCACAAGACTGCTAAGTTACAGGGCACATAACAAGGGAAACGAGTCAAACGACCAACCAAAGACCTTAAGCTGTTAAGCATCAGTTTGGACCAACCAACGACGGTTAGATGAAGTGATCCAGGACCAGGTTCAGGCCATGCCTGCTAATCAAACCACAGGTTTTTTTTAGTATTTGCTAGATAAAAAACAAGCCAATGATCTGACCAGTCCCATGACTTAAAAAAAACATTCGTATAATTTGCTGACCAGCTTGCCAAAATAGACTTGGGGCTCTGGCTACAAAAATAAAACTTTACACGATAATGCTACGCGTCTTACGTCCGACACGAACAAATCGTTGGACGCTCCCGCAGACCCATCGCCTCGTTACTTGCGCTTTTACCCTGCCGCTTGCTCTGCCCTCGAGTTTATTAAAAAAAATCACTCATCCTTATCCCTTCCGCTTCCTCCTCCCTTGTTGCAGCGCCTTGTGGCTGCCCAGTCCTGGACGCGCACTCCCCTCGATGCTGCCGCGTGCCCCATTCGCTGTCGCTCGCTCGCGCCCTATCACGCGTGCCTCTCACCCCCCCTCCCATCGCGCGCGCCGCCTGCCTGGCCGACCCATGCCCGGTGCTGTTGGCGCTGGTGGTGGGTGGTGCTCGCGCACGCCGCTAGTGCTGGATGCTAGTGGTGCTCGCGCGTCGCCGCTGACTCCCACCCCGATGGCTCACTACTAGAAATATTCACTTTTATGACGAAAATCTTAACGACGAATCCGAAATCGTCATAGAAGATTGTTTTTTATGACGAATATTTCTGTTTCGTCATAGATCAGTGGTGACGATCCTGCAACCCTCCCTTTTTATGATAAAATCAGGCATCATCACAAAAAACGTCATAGAAGAGCGTAGGATTTTGTCATAGATCACTCGCGTAACTCATCTGTGACGATCTCCTTTAAAACTGTGATGAACAGGGCTTCGTCATTAAACAAATTACACATCTGCGATGATCAATATTTGATTTATAACGAACGACATCATCATAGATCTCCACACGGTACTTTCTCCATCCGTCGTGTATATGTGGGACCTGCAATTACTCTTCTGTGATGCTTGCAATTCGTCATAAAAGTCTCAGCTCAATCATATCTCCATGCGACGTGTACCTGTGGGACCCTTCTCCATCTGACGTGTACATATGGGACCTACAGTTACTCATTCGTGACGCTTGCAATTTGTCATAAAAGTCTCTGCTCGGTCCTTTCTTCGTCCGAGGTGTACCTACGGAACCCTTCAGCATCTGACCTGTGGGACCCGACGGCTTACGTGTCACGTGTACATGTAGGACCGTTCTCCATCTCTATCCGACCTGTGGGACCCGACGGCTTGCGTGTCACTTGACGCTTGCAATTCATTATAAAAGTCTCCGCTCGGTCCTTCTGCATCTGACCTGTGGGACTCGAGGCTTACATGTCACGTGTACCTGTGGAACATTTCTCCATCTCCATCCGACCTGTGGGACCCGATGGTTTGTGTGTCACTTGTACCATGTGGCCCGTCAGGGTTTAATTTCTCATAAAAAAGGTCTGATACCTGGGAGTCAAACACGTGATCTGGACCAAGGATTGGAGCGTCTTTACCATTGCGCTAGACACCTGGCTGTGCTGACATCACTTTGGAGTCGCTATAGTATCCTATTTGCTATGTGGATGCCCTACAGGTTGACCTAAATTGGATATATCCCCTGCAAGTGGAAACAAATCTGTGCCCGCTGGACTTGCAGCGACGGAGGCGAAGGACCCCGGTCTGCTGTGGTGGCTGTAACACCCCAGTGTTAAGCATTGCATTTGGCATTTGCATTTCATGAGCACAAGCATCATCCAAGCATTCATGAGCATGAGCATGTGAAGTTTCATTTCATTTACCTTCTCTTTAATCACATGTGATGTTGCTCATATACTTAATTATGCTTGTAATCATGTATGACCAATGTATGAAATGGTTTTGTGGTCATGAAAACACCTTAGACACATCTAGGATGGTAGATGTAACAATTTTTGTATTCATGACATGAACCAATTTTGCTTCTAAGTGTTGGTTTACTTTGAAATGCTATTTTCATGATGCTAGTTTGACTAAAGTTGAACAATAGTTTAGAGAGCTTGCATGGCTGTGTGACATAAATAAAAATTGTAGTTCTTGTCATGGGTAACAAACTTTATTTAAGGGTCATAAGCTGAATCAGTGCCTAACATGGTCAAAAATAGCTCCAGAGTAGCAATAAAATGTTGTTTATAGACTAGGAAATTTTGCTAAGTCCTAAACCGGTTTAAAGTTTCAGAGTACCCTACTTTGGAGCACTGTAGTTTGAAAACTAGCTCAAATTAGGCCATGATCATTATAGCAAAGTTGTAGTACTCACGTAGCTCTACACTTTATATTACTAAAGTTTTCAAAAATTTGCCACAGATTAGGAGATAGAGGAGAGCAAAGATGGTGGTTTCAGTCGACTAAATCGACTTCACCGATTCAAATCGGCTATCCATCGTGGCCGACCATGCCCAGGCCACGCGCGCCGCATGGCGGCAGCACGCCAGCGTCGGCCCGACTGGTCGGGCCAGCAGGGGGAGAAAAGGGAGGCGAAGCCGCCGCGCTCACTCACTCTCGCTCTCTCGCCCTCTCTCTGCCTCTTGTTCACCCGCCAGAGCAAGCCAAGCACCGCGCCATCGCCGTTGCACCTTCGCCACGCTCATTCACTGCCACCACCGCACCGCCGTCCATCATATCTCACCCACCGCTCGGCCATCACCTCCTCCACCTCACTGACCACCCATTGCCTTAACTTGAGCCAAGGTAAACGCCTAAGGTCAAGTTTGTCGTAGCCGAAAACGGCCGGTGCGCTCATCGTGGCCGTGCTCCACCGAGCCGTCTCGCTCATGTGTTCCTCTCGTTAGGGTTAGGTTAGAGCTAGGTCTAACTCAAGGCAAGAGCCTAAGGCCGATGCTGGCCTTGTCGGAGCAGAACATTGCCGTGCCACCGTTGCGCTCACGCTGTCGTGCCGCCACGCACGTGGTCAAGCTTTGCCGCCGCTCCACCGAAGCCCCAACTTAACCCTAGATCTCCGCTATGCCACCAGGAACCGTAGTCGTGATCATCAGAGCTTGCCGTGGCCGAAAACGGCTGGTGCGCCACCGCCATCCGCCATGGACACCATCGAGATAGCTCCAGCGAGCCTCTGAGCCAATCGAGGGCACCTGTAGATGCAGAATGAGTTGGGGAACACGTTGGTGATGACGCTACCGCCGGTGACCTCACCGTCGGCGAGCTTTTCGCCAGTCAAGCCGGTGCTATGCTCTGTCTCACTGGTAGGTGGGGGCGAGTTGACCGCGAGCCCTTGCTGTCAGCTACCGTGGGTGTATAGACCGGGTGCACCTAGCTGTAGCGCCTGGTTGGAAATTTAATTTTATTTATTTATTTTTCATAGTTTTTGTTACAAGCTTCAAAAATTTATATCTAGAGCTAGGAGTATTCAAATGGGGTGAACCAAATTTTATTAGATTCATCATGAAGTGTACTACTTGATAAAAATATGAAATCTACTTCTTAGGGTATTTTTCTGGGAGAATTAAATTGACTAAGTTGAGTGCTTTTAAATTAGTTAGGCTTAACCATGATGTTTTCTGTGGTGTTTGTGATAAATATAACCTGTTTATGCTATTAGTTAGGCTTAGAAGCATTTGTTTGTAGGCAACTAGTTAATTATTGCTTTATAATTCAACTAGATGACTACAGGTATAGTTTCTGTTGTGGTGATGATTCTATGATGGTAATGATCCTTTCTGTAAAACTTGTTAATAACAAAGTTGTAGATAACTTACTTATCTACCTTGTGTTAAATTTAATAGTCATATGCCTTATGGTTTAAGAATTATGGTTGTTAGAAATCTGCTGTAAAAAATGCTTGCTCTCTATACAGATCTGAAAGATTAAATTATTTGACCTAGATAACTTCTGAATCACATTAAGATGATTAAAACAAAGTAGTAGGCAATTTCATAAGCTTTCCAGAAAGTTTACAACCATATTATTTATATGTGTATAACTCCAGTTATGATCAAAACAAGTGGCTACTGCCTTGCTGTCCAGATAATGATCTACATAAGTGTTTGGTTAGTTACTAGAGAAGAGATATGCACCTACTCAGTAAAAGAAAATATAACTTGTTATCACCTTAAGGCAATGCTATTGAGAACACTTAGGAGGATGAATTTCATCACACTATATCCTATGCTACTTGTCATTATATATGCATC